CAGGATAGATTGTCACTTGAGCTTCTCACTTTTGGAGAGTGGAATGAAGCGCTAATAAAACAGAAGTAAATGCGGTCCTTCACTCTCTGTGTAGCAGGTGCTAAAGGCTACAGGCTGTGATCCCTCCCCCCTCCCTATTAACGGATAAAATAATGAGTCTCACTGCGGATCTGAAGAAACCCTGTAGAGATTTAATTCCTGATTTCTGCTCCCAGTTAGACAGGTTTCACAACAATGTAACGCCGCAAACTTTAATGGCAATATTCCTGATGTATACTGGTTAAAGATCGGAATCAGGCCTTAGCATCCGACTCATGTTTTCTAAGCTGTCATTGAGTCACAGAACTTTAATCCTCATGCTTCAGGGCATATCCTGAGTCAATAATCCTCCCCTGTTCAGCTTCATGTTAAAAGTGTCAGGTGCCTTGCACAAAATGGCAACCAAATTTCACCACCTGCTGACAGATAACTGAGCACAGGTTACACTGCCAGTTACCATTTGTGACAAGGAGGTTTCATATTTTGGTCACCATTTTTTTTCCGTTGAGATGAGAATCCTAGAGATCCCTGCTACATCCAGCAAGATTTTGATTTTAAAAACATAGTGAGTACATGGGAGTACAGGGAGAGGAAGTGTCTATTTGATACCATTGCGTCTAGCTAAGGATCCTGTATTTTTGCAAAGTCTTTTAGTACTTCTCAGCCTATAAACCTGTTCTTCATTGGTGGCACACTGGGAAACTTCTGAAATCCATGCATGTACCATCAGGCCCTATTCTGACTTCCATTGGTATGCGATACATATGATTACACAAGAAACGAGAAAACCCAGAAAGGTGTGTTTGTAAGAAGAAGTAGAATCATCTTTGGAGAGGAATACCCACTAGAAACATTTATGGTGCCAATTGTTCATCCACTACAGCCTGATCCAAAGCCCAATGAAGTGTCCTAAAAGAAGTAGCAAATATAGTTACACCAGGGGGAAATTTTGGTCACTTTTAATTAAAACTGTAAACTCTTCCCTGGAGTCTGAAAAACAAAGTGTGCCTGTATTTCACAAGAACAGCAAGCTGATAATAGAGCTATTTATAAGAGTGAAAAAATACTTCGCTTCAGATACTGAAATGTTAGGGGAGGCAAAATCTGGCAGGGTGTGTTGCTTCTGTGTTCCGTGAGCTCTTTCAACTCTGCAAAAATGTGACTGCAAAAAAGTTATTCTTTAAGTCTTAACGTGTGAATTTCCTGGACAGGCCCAGTGGTCTCAGGCATGATCTGCAGCAGCTATTCTTTATAGCTGCCTGTAACAACGCCCCCACTTTCCCACTCCTGAGACATTGCAAACTGTGGTCAGTTTCTGCATAAAGTATGTACTGATTTCATGAGCACTAAACATATGTGTTTAACTTGCCCAACATTACTCAGGGGAGAACAGTTGATTCAGCATCTCCCAAGCATGAGGCCTGGAGCTGGATATCTTATTATTAGATTCCCAGGGGGGGCATTAAAATAGAAAAGTCTAGGATGGAAAAAACACTCACACATACTGGAATGCAGTGACACACCCTGAGCGACAAGACTTGGAAGAGAGAGACCAAATTATTAATAGTAATTTATGAAGTATCCTGTATCCCTTAAGTGCCTGATCTCAACATTATGAGTTTTCTGTGCTAAAAAGAATGCAACTGTAGTTTTGAAATGAGAGGCAGAAAAGCAATGTTTCCTAAATCCTCATCACACGAAGAAGAATGTCCCAAAGGTCAAACCCTCTTCACTTGGGATCAAACCTCCCAGTAAACAGAAAGGAAAACTGTAAACATTGCAATCCTGTTCTCTGTCAAAGACTCTGAAATGCATGTTTATACCAGGAATACCGTGGTTATGTTAATTAGTGGGTTGTACACAATACAATTACAAGGACAATTTGCAAAAGTCTGGTTGTAAAACACTCCCAGAAGATTAAAGCTAGACCAGCTAGTTTGAAAATATATATATATGGTTTGGAGGTTTGTGGGAGAGAGGGACTGTTTTCTTTTGTTTTTGTGCCACGGCTAGCATAATTGAGGTAGATAGACAGATACAGTGATTGACTATTGAAGTCAGTGGAAGGTGCCAGCTCCTCAGCACATACAGTTACTTAGATGCCTGAATATGAATTTAAGAGCCTAATTCTGGCACCCATTTGGTAAGATCTTGGCCATAGCATCTTTACTGTGCACCAGGATCAACTGAGACTTGGATAATCTCAAACTTCTACAAACCCCGGTAAATGGCATTTTTGAGTTTAAATACAGATTTGAGTCTCTTTGAAACCTCTTTGGGGGTTGCTGCCTACTTTTGTCATCTTGAAACTATTTCTGGAATTTACAGCCTGGGTCCCAAGCCAGGTTTGAATAAACAAACAAACTGCAGGGAGAAATGTTTGTGTTGATAATGTGGTCAAGAAAGTAAATCTTTTTAAGAAGCTGAAGGAATTCATTTTTCGCTTTTCTTCCCTTAAAGTTTCTGAACAGAAGGAGAAAGAGATTTGGAAATGTCAAGCCAGGCAACAGTTCTAGCGATTAGTTTTGGGGAAAATAATCATTCAACTTAAATATAAAATGTGGGCAGGGATTTATTTCAGGCATCTGTGTGATCATGTGTTTTTCCTTTAGGAATGAATTCAATCTCCTAACTGGAGACACAAGGGGACTGTTTTCCGCTTTTTTTAAACCAGTGCAAAAACAACATGAGCAACTGTAACATGTTAAACACTTCCTGGCAGTGCGACAAAAATCTGACATCTAAAATGTCAGCGATGAGGCCAGGAGGATTTACATGATTAACATGACTTATGAGAAGTATTAACTCCGTCACTGCCTTCAGAGCATCCTTTTGGAAAGCGGAAGTCTGCGACTAGAGCACAATGGAAAGAAAGAGAGAGGACATCAAGAACAAAGAGAAATGGCTGTGCTCTGTAGTTTTCTATATTGCTATATATGCTATCACTGAAGATATTTGGACCAGGGTCCCAGCTAGTATAAATCAGCAGCGCTCTCACAGCTATACCAGTTGATACCAGCTGAGGCTCCGGTATGTTTATGTTTTACATAAAGATCTATGAGCCCCCGCTCCCCCCTCCCCAGACTTGCTGCTACTTCTTCCCAATCCTGGAGCAAAGTCATTCATAATTGTGAGTTTATAACAGCAGAATCAATTAATACAGTGGTTCTCAAAGCCGGTGCGCCGGTTGTTCAGGGAAAGCCCCTGGCGGGCCGGGCCGGTTTGTTTACCTGCCGCGTCCGCAGGTTTGGCTGATCGCGGCTCTCACTGGCCACGGTTCACCGCTCCAGTTGGCCAGTGGGAGCCGCGATCGGCCGAACCTGCGGACACGGCAGGTAAACAAACCGGCCCTATTTATACAGCCCAAAATGCCATTAGCCTTCTTGGCAACAAGGGCACACTGTCGACTCATATCCAGCTTCTCGTCCACTGTAACCCCAGGTCCTTTTCTGCAGAACTCCTGCCTAGCCATTCGGTCCCTAGTCTGTAGCAATGCATGGGATTCTTCCGTCCTAAGTGCAGGACTCTGCACTTGTCCTTGTTGAACCTCATCAGATTTCTTTTGGCCCAATCCTTTAATTTGTCTAGGTCCCTCTGTATCCTATCCCTACCCTCCAGTGTATCTATCACTCCTCCCAGTTTAGTGTCATCTGCAAACTTGCTGAGGGTGCAGTCCACGCCATCCTCCAGATCATTAATGAAGATATTGAAAAAAACTGGCCCTAGGACCGACCCTTGGGGGACTCCACTTGATACCAGCTGCCAACTAGACATGGAGCCATTGATCACTACCCGTTGAGCCAGACGATCTAGCCAGATTTCTATCCACCTTATAGTCCATTTATCCAGCCCATACTTCTTTAACTTGCCAGCAGAGGTCGCTGGCAGAGGCAGGATTAACTTGGGAGTTCCTGTCTCCCAGTCCCAATATCATTCCACTAGGGTCATGCTGCCTCTCCTATTGCTGTAGGAATAATTGATGTTATAGATTTAACAGCATGACTTCAGTGCAGGCTCCAATGGGAGAGCATTGGCTGAGAGGCAGCAAAACCCCGTTTGAACCAAAATAAAGAAGTCCAGAAAAAAAAAGATGAAAAACATTTGAAACATTGGGAATGTGCTGGGATGTGAGGAGGGCTGGCTGGTGTGCCCTGGGTTCCAATAACCCCAGGCTAATATAACAGTCCTTATGGGCTGTTACTACCAGTGCAAGTTAGAACAACCTTGAGGCTCTAACTGGCACTAGCAGCCCCAGGGGTTGGGAGAGACATGCTGGCTCTTCCTTCTCAGGTCCTATACCCAGTGCAGCTCAGCTGGACCCAAAAGTCAGAGTTTAAGATCCTCATGTGATTTCCAGTGAAGTGTCCATGTTTTAATTAAAGACCCGCCTCTGCTTGGCAACCTAGTTTTGCTGATCCCTTAGGAGGTTGATTCACAGATGTCACTGCAGTTCTGTACAATATTCCTACCAGCATGTCTGTCTTTAAAGTTTTTTCAAAAGTTTCTTTTTTCTGTTATTTTTGGTACTCTTCGATATGTTTGCATTTTACTATTGCCTCCGTAAACAATGAGAAGAAATAGCTCAATAATAGAATTCCTGAATGGTAGATATATACTAATATGTCTCTCCAACTGTTTTACCAATAACCTGTATTCTGGCAGCTTCAGGAAACAATGGGCCTGATCCAAAGTCCATGGCAGTCAGTGGAAAGATTCCCATTTCTAGGAGTTTAGATGAGACCCTAAATTAACAAATTCTGAAAGAACCAACTGGTCAAACAAAACTAGAAAGACACAGAGATTATAACCCCTTTATCAAAAACAGTGACTCACGCTTGCACACTCATTCAGGGAATGGGAATGAAAACAGTGACTCAACCTGTTAAGGATTTAGACAGAGAAAAAATATATTAAAAAACTTTTAGCAGCATTAGTAACAGCCACGGAGCGCAAAACTCTACCTTGACTAGCTGTCAATCAGCTCAGCAGATCACAAATAGAATGAGTCATTTATCCACATGACATGACAGAAGGGTGGAGAGTCTCAGAAGGGCAAGGATGCTAACAATGCAGTAATGGTACATACAGTTAGAAAAGATGGAAATTATTCAATAGTGAGCAAGTGCTTCAGAGAAGGAGAAATAAAAAGAAAAGAAAGATAATTACATTGTGGGACCAATGCAAGCACGTAGGAGTTGGACCTTGTAGATTTCCACTCCCCACCAAACACTGCTTTCTTGAGGTACCAGAAAAAGATGATAAGCAGGAAAGAGACCCAGCTGAAAAGACTGACTGGTGCTTCACTGGGGAATTATGGACAAAGCATATGTGTTAACACTCAGACATTAATAGTGAAAGAATACCAGTATTTACTGTATGCTAGTAGACCATGTTCCAGTGAAACTAATTTGGGAACTCTGTAGCAGATATGGTGTTTGTATTTGGAGAGTTCTCCAGCCTTGACAAAACATCTAGATTTTGTGGAAACTATTTGAGTGTCCAATTAAAGAATAACTGAAGTCAATAGTAGTGACAGCCATGTATGATAACTGAAGGCAGAACTTGGCCCAGTACTTAATGATTAATGTTCCTTAGGGATGAATGACTTTAAGTGATATTTTCAAAGCAGGTTGTAAGGATTGGATAACTGAATAAAGTTCAGCCTAAAAGAAAATACTTACAGGAACTGAACTAAACTATTGGGAAAACAATTCTCTTAAATGAAAACTCCACTATAATTATGCCCAGTAGATCCAATTGACATGGCAATCATTAATAATGGGGAAGACTAAACATTTTACAAAACAGGAGTCCAATGATTATTATTAGCAGGCAGAGAAAGGATTAATTGAGTTTATTAAAGAGCAAACTACAGCATCTCAGTGTTTCTGAAACACAAACAATCCACAAGACAGACCAGTGCCCAGCCAAATATACAGGTTAAAGGAGCTGTGATCAAAGGAACACATACGTTACCTGTAATTTTATAATTATAAGCTTGACTTGTCAACAACCCATACTTTCCTATTCTGAAATTCCAATATGTTAAATATCTGGCTAAAAAGTAACAAATTCTAAATTCTTCAATTCTACTCAGGATCTATCTGTCACTTGTGAAAAAACAGAAACAAGCAGAACAAATCATCATCTACTACAGTGAACACAGAGGAAAGTTCCACATCTTCACTATCATGTAAGGAGACCCTTGCGATTAATATGGACAGCACTAATCCACAAGCCTGATAGCTTCTTGCCAGTAGTGTTGCACAAAGAACTGCAGTGAATTGTCTCCAAGAAGGCTTGGCCAGATACGCTACATTTTGCTTTAGAAACTGCCCAAGCAAGATTACATTTCAAGGACTTAATTCTTGCCCCTTCATTCAACTAACACATAGATACACACGGGATGCACCATTGGCTCAGTCTGGCACAACCAATTCACATACCACAGCAGTTTATTTTTGTAAATGATTAGGATAACCTCATGGCATATTCTGCTTCTTTTCCCACAGTTGATAGCACTCGGATGACTTCATCCTTATCTCTTGTTAGATATGTGTGGTTTGAAATGATGTTATGCAGAACCAGATGCATGCTAGGAAATAGAATGAGCATTTGGAAATCACTTGTGATGAATAAAGTTGAAGGGAAAAGCTTTCTATGTTAAAAATGATCCTTTGCCTTTCCTGAGCACATGCCATCTGAGGAGCCTAAAGCACTTTGCAAACATTAACTAAGCCTCACACGGCCTGTGAAGACATCTTTATCCCCATGTTATAGCTAAAACTTTTTTATAGCATCCATCACTAGGGCAGTTGAATGCTTAGTGACTTACTCGCTCACACAGTGAGTGAGTGATGCAACTGGGAAGAGAATGCAGAATTTTTGACGCTGCGCGCGTGGCACACACAATGAAGCAGTTGAGATTTAGCTGTGACCTTTCCTGCCTAGAGATTTTTTTCGTGCATGTGAAAAGGATAAGAAAGTTAGGCTTCTAATAGGGTAAAGGTCTGGGTATTTCCTGGCAGAGACCATATCAGTGATTTACTGAGAGAGTCCTGTCCCAGGGAGCACATTTAATTTTCACAGATGACCTGATTACAAAGAGTGTGGCCCATGGAGATGACCAGTCCCAGCATGCAATTTCCCATATCCAGTTGGAGGAGGGGCCCAGAGATGATGGGTCTCAGGACGTAAAGCCTAATCTAATGTGTTGAGTGTGCTCTGGTTACATGTGTGGCCAAAATGCATAGGTTTTTAGCTTGCTTTGTTGATTTCCCCCTGCTTTGTTACACCGTGCCTTTAAATTGTAAAGTTGTTTAGAAGGGCTAAGTATTAAAGTTGCATGCTGAAAATGACTTCTTTATTGCATGTCTGGTTATCTGGTAGCCAGTTTTTAGATGAGTACAACTAAGGTTCTGACCATTTGTATCTGTTAAAAATTCCACATTTCTTTTCCTCAAAGTTGGCATATAAACTCTGGTGCCCTAGCTAATTTACCACTGATGTTAATTAGTCTGCCTCACTATAGCCCCCTCCTCCACTCCCTTTCAGTTTCATTTGCTCACATACTACGGGGATGGCTTTGATATGGAAATCTAGGTAACCAGACATGGGCTTCTCCTTTGCTGTCTTTGCTAAATTTTGTATTTTTGCGGTGTGCTGTTACCCAGATGCAATATACTAGAGGCAGGGCACGAACTGGGCTGGCACACTCTCAAGTTTGCTTCTTACTTTCCAGTCTCAACTTTCATTTTAAAGGAGTAAGTCTCTTGCTGTTTCAGCTGTGAAGTCAACCTTGGAAATGTGAACTGATGCCTGGTCTACACTACAAAGTAAAGTTTTTTTAAAGTAAAGTTGATATCAGTCACCTTGCATCAACCTATTTGTGCATGTGACTACACTGAGTTTAGTCTCCGGCAATGTAAGAACCCAGTATGGTGACACAGTAGAACCACCTCCCTTGAAGGGCATAGAGCCGTGGTCAACCTACTTAAGTTCCTACAGTGCGATTGTGGACACTGCATGACCTGTGTCAACTCTAACAGTTTCCAACAATGGTCTGGTCACAGTTTTAAACTCCAGTGCCTAGAGGTCTCAGAGGACAGAAACCTCTGCTCCTGCCTCCCCTGCCCTCCACCTTTAAAAGCCTTGTGTGTTTTTGAAATGCCTCTCCTTATTGCCCACCTTGGTAAGCAAACCTATCAGCTGATCCTTGTTGTGTGTAACTGCCCAAACAACCATGCTGGCTCCATACACACAACGTAGTAAATGTGTTCCTGCCCACAGTAGACTGGAAGTGTTGGATCTCCTGGGGAGAGAGGAGGTGGTGCAAGCACAGCTGTGGAACAGTCATAAAAAATGTGGACATCTATGAGCAGATTGCACAGGGGATGCAGGAAAAGGGATACAGGACGGATGAGCAACAGTTCCACATGAATGCAAAGAAACTTTGCCAGAGATACCGCATGTCTGGAGAAGGCGACAGTGGATGTGATGCTGCCCTGCAGACCTGCCACTTTTACGAGCTGCAGGCCATATTTGGCAGAGACCCCACAGACCACTGTGGAGGTGGAGCCTGAGACAGTGACCCCTACCATAAATAGTAAGGAGGGGAGAAAGTAGAAAGAGGAGGGGGGAGATACAGCAGGGGACACCAACCATGCAGAGCCAGGACCTATTTGAAACTCAGGAGTCTAGCCAGTCCTGCTAGGCAAGCATAGAGGAGCTTGCTGATGAAGGGGATGGGAGCTCAGGGAAGCACATGCATGCATTTTTTCCTTACAATGTTTAAATTTAAAGATAGCACGCAGCTCATTCCCAAGTTAACAAGAGAGGGGTATTGACTTTTCATTGTTTTACTCATATGAGAAGAGGTAGAGGTACAACAAACAGAGGTAGAGTTAGTATCTGTTTTTCATCCCCCTATCGGGTTAGGTGGAGCATAGAGAGTATTTATGGGAATAAGGGAAGGGAGCTTTACATTTATTTTGCCCTTTCCTTTGTGACTGTAAAAGTGTAACGGATGCATCAATGTCTTGAGTTTGAAGAAAGCCGGAAACAATAGCTCTCAGAGATATGAATTGCCCCACTCTAATGGCTGTTAACTCAAATGCCAGTAGGGATACTATAAAGGTCAACGCTGTTAATTTTCATTGCTCATCAAAGCATGTAAGAAAGGAGAGAGAAGCATCACGCAGTCTGCTGAGTGACAGCTCATTTTAGTGCCTTGAGTAGGTAGGTGTGAGAGAGCATCATCATTTACTCCCCCTCATCCCCATGAAGAAGCCAAGTTCAAGGAGTCCAGCAAAGACTCAGGGGGGAGGGATAACTCAGTGGTTTGAGCATTGGCCTGCTAAACCCAGGGTTGTGAGTTCAATCCTCAAGGGGGCCACATAGGGATCTGGGGCAAAATCAGCACTTGGTTCTGCTAGTGAAGGCAGGGGGCTGGACTCAATGACCTTTCAAAGTCCTTTCCAGTTCTAGGAGGTAGGATGTCTCCATTAATTTATTTTATTTAAAGACCAGACAGTATGCATGATCATATTTGAACATCTGCACAATCTACTGGTAGCCACATCTAATTTTGGCAGCTCAAGTTGGTGAAGTTTAGAAAAGCACCACAATCTTTTATTTTCCAATTCAGATTTTCCAGATTCTGACCAGCGATGACTCTGTTTCAGTGATGAATGTATGTTGTTTGTAAAGCTTTGGGAAGTTTGGAAGCTTTTACAATGAAAGACATCCAACAATGGCCTGTCTACATGATCACAACTGCCCTGTTGGGTAACGTGATGTAATCCCAACTGTGCTATAACAGAGTTTGGTTTTACCTATGCTGATGGGACTTAAATATGTTATAACCATATTCAAAAATCATTTTAGATTATTACCATGGTAAAACACAATGTGAACAGATAGATGTATTTTAGGAGGCTGCCTGGGTTTTTGTGGGGTCGTTTTCTTCTCTCTCCACATCAGAACAGGCAAGACAAACAAACGGTGGCCACAACACGACCCCTGACGTGGTTCATCTGGTTGCACAGACTGGCGTTCATTATTTGGTTTTGATTTATGGGTGTTTCCAGCCATGCATAATAAGTCCCAGACAGCACCCCCTCACAGGACACCTTCATGAGCTTGCCCACTGGGGTGCCCCTCCCTATAGCAGAACATGACATTACATCCACTTGTGACGCGTCGCCAAAACAGGATGCAAGGCGATGCTCTTTGGCCAGGACGTGACATCATGCTCACGCAACACAACGGTGACATGGCGTGTTGACATTATAATGGGACCGTGCCCCTGTGCCATCATAGCACTGTGACGTCACACTGGCGTGGCTCACCTCTTAAGTTTATCATCTGGCAGGTATTCGATCAGCCTGGATGGGGTTTTTATGAATTTGCCAGTAAGGATTTGCATTATCATCACAATACACTGGGAGAGCTAATGTTCAGAGTCTGTGGCCAGCAAAAGATGCTGCAGCCGTCCAACTTCTGCAGTGTACAAAAATGATGTTATCGGTCTTATCTCTGTTCTCTCTCCAGATACTCACCCTGGCTGCTGGGGGTTGGGTACAGTTGCCTCGAGGTGGGGTTGGCAGGCTTACCTTGAGGGGAGGCTGAGGCCTGGTGCCTCAGGAGGCTGTTGGCGGTTGCCATGGCAGTTGGTGGGAGGGGGAGAGGAGCCGCCAATGGCCCCGCCCACCGGGTGAAAGATGACAGTTGAACAGCCTCGGGCCCTTCCTGTCAACTGCTACCCAGCTGACTAAGTGCCCCCATAGGCTGGCTCTAACACTGGCACCACCCACTTGGTCTCTTCGACCAATGACTGCCTGGTTGCGCGAAACGTCACCGATCACCGCTTTGGAGGCCCTGCTGGGCTGCTACCCCAGCCCCGCCCTCCAAGGGGCTCTCTGTCTTCTCTTTGGCTGATCTGCCTCCTCCCCTCCCCTCTCCTAACAGATCGTTCCATGCGCGCATAACGTCACCGCGCTCAGGACGCGACCAATGAGCGCTGGGCTGCGGGGCGGGTGCACCGTGATGACGCAAGTGGCGTCGCTTCAGGGGGGGAAGAAGAAGTCAGAAGCGGCGGCGGAGCCCGAAGCAGTTGTTGTGTTACCATGGGGGCCGTGCTGGGGGTCTGTTCGCTGGCCAGCTGGGTGAGTGGTGGGGTGGTCTCCCCTGAAGGGTGCTGACGGCGACTGGTGGGGGTGCGAGCTCCGCCCATCGCGTGGGCCCCCGTATGATCCGGGCAGGGAAAATGCTGCCCCGCCCTCTTGCCCCCCCATCACCGGGGGGATGCGGCTGTGAGGCCTGGTCGCCCGGGGTGGGGGCGTGTTATTACCGCCGCTAAGGCTCGTCTCCAGGCCCGGAGACCCCCACCCCGAGCTCTGCGTCCTGGTGTCGCTGGCTACTAGTGGGGCTCTGCTGTGTCTGGCGCTGAGCCGCGTATCACGGCTGTTCGGGGGGCGCCTTCGGGCAGTGGCCGAGCTTCGAGCCCTTGTGTACGGCGCTGTACGGTCACATAGCGAGAGGCAGGCCCAGCCCCCAGGAGCTGCTAGGCTCAGGAGCTCGATAGGCAGGCGGTGGGGGGAAGGGATGTGACATTGATCAGTGGTACTTGGCAAATGCCCCGAGGGATCCAGGGGACTTCTTGCTGTAGCTCAGGGGTTTCCTGTCTCATTTCGAATACTATAGACATTGTTTGTTTATTTGTGGGAAGTCCGTCCTCGTGTTTGTAATCTCAGGAGGCGTAACACAGGAAGTAATCATTGTATTATCAACAACACACAAATTGCTCTGAGGACATAGCAGAGGCTCATTTGGGTAATTGTAGGGCAAAGCCCATAAACTAGGGGAGAGATTGGGCGGAGGGGAGGACCTTTTTAAAAATGCTGGTTACTTAGTCTGTTATAATAAAGAATCTTAAACATCTAGTGACATCACTTATGTGGTCTTTGTTGTTACTACGTGCATTTCATTAACCTTAGAACAATGAAAATGTATTTGCTACCTTCACTTTCTAGTTCTCTTGTATTAGTCCA